AAAAATTATTTGCATTAATTAAATATTTTACAGTTCGTGCACTGTGATGATGAGTTTGAAACTAACACGCTCTCTTTTGTCGTTCCAAGACGGGCGAATTTTATCAGCATTTTTAAACTTTAAGATTTTTTGTTGTGACATTTTAGAAAGTAATTAATTATCTTTAATTACACTAATAATGACTTAAATAAAAGCTAATTAATTCTGACGTAAAGGGGCCCACATTATTTAACACAGTTAAAAAAGGTAAAAATAAAGATCATCCGTAATGAGAATGATTACAATTATAAGCACTCATGTACCCACTGTAAATTCCTGTTACCATGCAAATGATTGCGTACGTGTATAAATATGTGATGTACGTATATGTTATACATATAACTAATTTAAAATTGAAAAATAAGATTCTGTATTAAATATACATTTTTACACTATTAACAATAATCTACTCTAAAAAGTATAATAGCCAAAAAAGCCTGTGATTAAAATCATCAAAAGATAATTCATCTCCTGGTGTCATGTTATACATACATACATACATACATACATATATATGATATATTTACACACACAGTTGTTTTATTTAGATTAAACCCACTTTTTTTTAATACACTGAAAAATTCAAAATTTAATGTACAGATTTTTCCATGGTAATATTCCTCCCTGGGTTGCCCTCGTAAACGTTTTCTGACCTTCTACTCCCTAATATATTGAATTACTTTCAATTAATATAATACGTATAAAAAATTTATGTATTGTTGGCGATCCAAAGAAAGCTAGAATATAATTTACTAATAATAAATACATATAGATTTCATAATTTTAATGTGCCTAAGAAATGGTGAACAAGCCCATCATGTATGGTATGACACTGCATATATTTATTTATACACTGTGAAATTATTACTTAGTAACCGATAATTGCTCCATTGAAACATTTTTGTAGTGCACCGCAAAGACTGATTATTTGAATCTTTTTATAAATGGTAAAAAAATATGTCAACTATGAATTATTTAAATAATGATAACCTTTCTCCATTTGAAGTATTATTACTTCTTTAAAGTTGAATGTTTAAGGTGGCATAACACATTACCTTTAATTCCATGAGAAATTATAAGATCCTCGTAAACAAATTAGTCAAAACAAAATAGATTTTTCAGACTCATCAAATTCCGACCCTCTGACAGATTTAAAAATAAATAGAACATACGTAGTTGGTATAATGAAAATGCAGCTTTGTTATTGGGCTTGCAGTCATATTGTTTCAGTAGTGGACGAAGCCTGGACTGTCTGGAACTGGGCCATTCCTTCAAGAAATTGTCGGTTTTTACCTTTTTCTTCTGCCATATTTACAGTGCGATTGCCCAGAACATAAAGGTGCTCCTACCATTTCTGGTAATTTAGATCAATAAAAATATTTTCAGCACATAAAGCATATTGTACATTACTGTAAAAAAAAAAAAAAAAAAAATTAAGTGTACTACACATTCTTGTATCCAGCTCTTTAAGTTATGCACCAAATAACAACAACAATAATAATAATAATAAATTTTCTACATTATAACCAGTTTAAGCAGGCAGCATACTGTACATCAAAATCAGCAGCTTTGCATGAGACGATAAGTTGTATTTGGTAAATAATGAAGAGAGGAATCCAGAACCAAAGTAATATTATCTACTTAAATACCATTCAAATGATCTGACTACGGACAACCTATACACTTCTCATCAACAGTAAAGATAGGCTCACAAGTATCAAATGATCAAACAATGAAAAATAACTGAAATAATAATAACGAAGTCAAAGGGAAAAATGCCAAGAAAAAGTGTATTTTACCAGTACGGGAGCTGGTCATACCTTGATGGTGCCAAAGCTGCAAAATTGACTACATACGACTCAATCCTTACTGCAGCAGGGTTTGACTCTACAGCAGTTAATTCCCTCCACCGACAAATGGACTATCTGGTTCTTAATATGTCTACAAGCTAAAATGGACCTTGGTCCTGATGACCATGCAGTGTATAATGCTTCTGATGCTTGTGCTGAAAAACCATTGTTGCTCAGATCTAAGAATAGTAACCCTTTTGCCATGCTGATAGCAGTTGAAAGCTCCAGGATAAATTGGGACTCTAGAGATAATTTTCGTTGACATGAGCTCGAGCAACTATTATCAACTGCAGATCTGGCAGCTTCCACTTTCATTTCATCATCTTCACTATCAGCTACTTCAAGATTAGTGCATTCAGTGTTCATGGCACATAAGCCCTGATGCTTTTCAACTTCCTCACCACAAACCTCGCTAGCTGGCTTAGCCACATCGAGTTCCAGTTGTATGAATTCTGAGCTCCCTTTCGCCATTGGATCATGCGTTAATGCGAAATTTTTACCCATATCAGCATTATCAGCAAGATTGAGTTCTTCTAGATGGTTATTATCTGCAAGAAACAACAGTAAGGAAATGGTTTTGAGGCATAATAAATTGAAACTTCGTGGCAAAAGGTCACACCTGCTAATGCTTGAATAATTTGAAGAACTCCAGCAAGCCCAAGCTGACACTTGTTTAGGACCAAAACTTTCAGACAGCATTGTGGATTCGTAAGCAGTGATGCCAATGCACTGGTACCCTGTGGACATATTTCCAGGTTCTCAGGCAAAAGCAAACCTAGATCCAAGTACTTCGAAAGTGAAAGGGCAAGAAATAAATTGTGATAGTGGAAATCAAGTTGGATTAATTCATTGCTCAAAGTGGATCTTGGTTACACCTTACAAGTCCCAACTACCATCTGTCAGTACATTTTCACCTAGAATCTCAATGAAAGTAGAGTTAATAGAAATGCTCAGCTGTGTATTAAAGATGAAAATTATATTGGATTTACCATCAATTGTTGAGAACTCCATTTCGCTATGTATATCTATATGGATTGGAAAGTGGTGGGGGCAAAGTTCGAAAAACTCTATATTGCATCAACTGTTCACTAATAGGATAGATATAATAACTGTACTTCAACTCTTTTTCAGTGTTTATCCTATTCTGCAGCCCACTCCTTAAACTGAGATACCTACATAGAGCAGAGTTAGAAATAAGACTCTCTTCTATCTCCTTTTTCATCATGACAGATTCTTCTCCTTCAATGTCAAACGCCCAAAAATCCTCACTCTCTTCTGTTTCTATTCATTTGTCTCATTCTTTCTTCAGTGTTTTTAACATGAAAAGTAATGTTAGTAAAACCCTAGATTTCTCCAGTTACTTGACCTGGAAAAAGTCTCTCCTTAATTTTCAAGGATATGGTCACATACCCCAAACACATCTCTATAATGATTCATCGCATGACTAGATACTCTGATTGTTGACCAGACATGATGTCCAGATAGAGATCACTCAATGCTAGATCTCGCATTTTCTTGGGTTCCAATTTGATTTCCTGGAGTGCTAAGGTACAAACTGCTGTCTTTCATCCCAGCGCAGAAACTGAGTGCCATGAAGTAGAGGCAGTAGTTTCTTGATATTTTTTTTGGCTCTGTAATTTGTTTATGGAGTTATGTTGTCATCAATTTGCACTCCCAATACTCTTTTGTGATAAATGTATGTGTGTTGTGATGGCATCAAACCCTATACAAGATACATGTTCCAAGTGCATAGAGCTTGATATTCACTTTGAACATGAAAAGGTGCAATCTGGTTCTCTTGTGGTTCAGCACAAGGAAAGAACAATTAGCGGACATCTTTACCAAGGGTCTTCTCACTGCACCATTCACTCATCTTCAGTCAACTATATGTACTTTATCCTGCTTAACTTGCAATGGGTAATAGGATAGACATCTAACTATATCGTATTTCCCTTTTTTAGTATTTATTCTCTTCTACAGACTACTCCTTTTATACTTCTAAGACAAGTACTTTGGTATATCTGACACACCATCAGTAATATTGCTTACCTGAGAGCTTATCCATAAGGAGTAGATACACTTCAATTCAATGAGTATATAAGAAGTGCAAGATAACAACTATCTCCAATTCGATTATATAGAAAACTGTGCGTTCACTTTCCTTGGGCCAGACATGATGCATGGGTTGGCTAATCTCTGAGGGGAAAAAACAGAACTAGGTTTTTATGCCAACAAATTTGTAGATGAACACATTACGCTTTTGCAGACAGCTAATTTATTTAGTCAATTTAAAGCTCTTCAAATTGCATATATTTTTCAAATTTTTGAAACAGAAAAGAATGTCTCATATGAGGACCACAAATATCCAGAACATAGATTAATCAAGGACTAACCTCTTGCATTATAGGATTTCCTCCTACATTTAGCTCAAGAATGGCAGACATCAGTGTAACATTGCTGTTTAGCTTATGAATGTATAGAGGTGTCAGTCCACAATATGAGAGATCAAGTTTTGTAGGCTCTTGAAATCCGCAGAATAATGACTCAGTTAACTGCAATGCTCCTTCCTACATGTAACATAAACACAGTTACAAGAAACAGCAATTATTTCTGAGCTAGAAATACAATTACAATTTCAGTGAAGAAAAACAAATAAAATTAGAAGACATAAAACTACTCAGAAATTAAGATTTTTGGTGAAGCAAAAAACAGTCAGAACATGTAAAATTACTCACTGTTCCTAGACCAGTACCCCCAAGCATTAGCCGTGACAAAGATGAAGTTTTAGCAAGTTGACAAAGGCTGTTGACGACAAGCTTGTTCAGCATTAAACCGCTCATGTTCAGTTCTGCAAAACTACGAAAAAAGAACATAGTCGGGCATATCACATCCACATATGCAATCAACTATTAATGCATGTTAAAAAAGACAGTTTTAATCCACCCAAACCTTTTCAAAGTAGACAGTTTGGCAAATAAGTTTATCACAGCATTCCCAGATATATGATTATTATATCCTGTCAAAGAAACGAGACAAACAGTTTTGAACAACAAACTGAAATGAATAGAAATTCAATACTGACCAACTTACTTGTAAACATACCTATAGAAAGTTGTGATAGAGCAGATCCAGCACTCAATGCATCAGCAATTTTTTGAATTGTTCTAGATGTGATACAACACCGCTCTATATTCAAACTAAAAAGGACTACAAGGAAGGGAAAATAAAATGTCAACAGAAGCAACAAGGAGATCTCTACCTCAGCATTATTCAAATGCAAGTTATGATTTAAAGGATATGCAAAGTATTTGACATAAAAAAGTTAATAAAAGCTTAACCTAATTATCTTTATTGAAAAAATGGCAATGATGCAATATAATAACTGGAGCTAATAGTTTTCTTTTGTTGAGAAGAAAGTGCACTGGAGCTAATAGTTAATCCACTAGGCAGCAAAAAGAGAACCATACCTTTGCAATTTTTTAAGATAGTTGAGAGGTATGATCCACATGCATCAGTGAGACGATTCCCAGAGATGTTAAGTATTTCCAGTCGGGTAAATAGCACAGGGCATTCACAGATCTGATGAAAAGTAAATAAAAACATGAGAAGAAATGTTCCTTGTCTAATTAATCAGCAAAATTACATTTGAGATGTATAGGAAAAATAAACAAAAAGGTATTCAGATTGAGAGCTAAAGCTTCACATGAAGTCTACACTTGTGAAGGTAAAAACGAAGACGGCAATTGGAACTCTGTAGGAAAATTGGAAATGTGAAATGCTGATTGGAATGCCAGCTCAAACCTGAAACAAAGCAGTGGGGCCAAATCGATTGCAATGCAAATCCAAAGTCAAGGCACCATAACTTTGGCTGGATGATGTGAAAAATTGTTTAAGTTTCTCCATGGTTCCATTTCCTGCAAAACGAAGTAGACAACTTATGCGTCAGTAACAAGACTACTCATTTGGATACAACAATCTGCAACAAATACTTAAACTGCTATACATACCATGCAAAAGAAATGACAAAGAAAGCAGTATCTTGCACTTGGCAACAAATATTTAATTAAACTGAATAATAATAAATTGCGGAACAGATAGACACCTAATAAATTGTGAGAAAAGTCCAATACAGCAATGGTTTTGTGGATATGCAGAGCATCCAGCAGTGGAGTGATTGAGATATCTTGCAGTTCACAGTCAGACACATTGACTTCATCCTCTACCTGGAAACAAAATATCAACAGAATATCAACCTAAATTTAACCTCCATATAGAGACATGTAATTCTAAAACAGCTTGCAGAAGAAAATATCAAGTTTTTTCTTTGTTATGTAGTGCAGATGGACCTATCATTTACCTCTGAAATATATAGTCTTTTAAGCAATCTGATATTGGGTTTCTCACATAACTCCTCACAACAGTCGATATACAGCTTCATCAAGCGTTTTTGAACCCACCCTGTAGACAATGTATGAAATCCAATATGCTATTTAAACAATTAAACAAATTACCTCAAGACAGAAGTTTGAAACAGAAATGACAATATAGAAAGACAAGACCTAAGAAGTAAGCCTCTGAGTTTCTACTCCTAAGGCTCGCTTAAAACAGTCATTCAGCATATAGCACAAAATTAGCAAGCTATATGTCAGAATGTTATTTGTCCAGTGAAACTGCAATGCATGAGTTTTACCATGAAGCATCGGAAGCACAACAACAAATACACATCCATGGGAAGAATCATCGATAAAGCAAGCAACTAATTACATGTTTATCTCAGAAGACTTCTATGATTCTAGTATAAATATTAATCACTTCCCCTGTAGGCCGGAATACTGTACCATGCACATAGCTAAAACTGAAATAGTTGTCCATACCTTCATTAAATAATTGGATAAATCTCCTTCAGATGACAATGGACACTTTTATTAATGATTGTACAAGGTATGATGCAAAACCTCTCACTAATGTCTAGTAAGCAATAACTTTTAGTGACAGAATATAGACCTTCCCACTACCTTGAGATTTCAACTCCACCAAGAACCTAACCTTTTTATTTAAAGAATTCTAGTTTTGCTGCATTTATCCAGTTTCCTTTCCTCTTGAAAATGATAATAACATCTAACCTAGCCTTTTCACTTGTAATCAGTAAATTGTCGAAGTAACATGCATAAGAATTATGTCATCAACCTTCACTTAGTTTCATAAAATTGAGATATTAGAGTCATTTCCTGCTTCATTTTCTCTCTGCTAAAATTAAAATTTAAACTGACAGATTATTAACTCATGAAACATGGATTACCACAACACAAACTAAACTTATAAAGTAGTGTGAAATACAAAGCTTCATGATAGGTAGGCTATACACTCTCTCGCATGTCTTCATCAGTGCAAAGAGCACCTACTTATAATTGCCTATGATATGTTAGGTTTGAATAAAGAAGCCAATCTTTTCAGTAGCCAAATGGTAGGAAAAAGGCCACCGCTAACAAGTTTTCTGTTCAGCTATGTACCAATGGCCTACATCGATACAGTTTATTGTGGATAAAATACAGATATCTAGGACATCTACGACATCACTCTATTACAAAAGGTGATATATTCCACCAAAAAATCTCATCTTCATCATTGATGCACCTTAACCTGTTGTCATCCTTATGTACTGGAGCAGTTCTGGTATAAGACATTACAAATATCAACCTACAAGCATCTAAATTCAAAAGACATACCAGGAGGTCACGATGCTAACTTCTCAGCAGGAATATCGCAGCAAGTACTTCTAAAGACTACCTCAATCAAAAGATATAGCTCCTTTATGCATTCAGTTAGCATCGAAAGGATAGTTTCAGTGCAATTTAAAATTTATGAGCTTGAGGGAGACAAAGCTGCCATAGAACCAAATTCATATGGCCATGATTCGATGAATATTCCTGTTTGTTTTCCCATTTTTTCATATTAAATTTAGTTCTTAGTTTCTAAAGTCAGAAAACATGAAAATGCCAACTGAAAATAAAGATAGGAACTTATAAACAATGTGGGTTAGAGTCAGCAACTCAACCAATTAGTATTCATGTATTTCAATATATCAGTCATCGAAAGACGTCAATTAGAAATTCCACAGGTATTTTTAAAAAAAAAAATCTCAAGCATCTATGTTTAAGCTACAGCAGAAAAAGAGACCAATGATGAATAATAAAAGCAAGCAAGATAACAAGTTAATATATGAAATCATCCTTAGACAATACAATTTTCAGAAGGTACACTTGTTCAGGTTAGGTATATTATGAACTTGAAATTGTTGGAGAGCAAGGAGACACTGAGGACAAAGCACATTAGTAAAGCTTGATTGCTTGAGAGACAACCAAACATGTTAACGGTTCAGGTCATTTAGTTCAGAAGAGGCATTACAAATTATTGGTATTTACATACAACTATAACTTAAACTCTAGGAAATAGGAGGAATTTCCTATTTTCTCAAAATGAATCGTCTTAAAATACTCACCATTGATAGAAACTTCAATGACAGTTTTTTCCAAATGATCTTTACGCCCTTCAAATATTTCAAAGTTCTCTTGCTCTCTTCCATCACATTTCATATGCTGAATGATGGGCAACAAACCTAAACAGGGAACAATTTGCACAGTAGTAAAATTTTATGTAATCTTTGGAGAACCTACAACTTGAATCAATATTAATAAGAGAAATATCCATGTATAACCACTTGAAACTGAAAATTAAGTGACAAGTTAGTTCAGTCCATATGATGTGTATCTATCTATCTTTATATAAAGAAAAGAATTCCTGTGAATGATAATGACAAGTGGCACATAATGATAATTACAGCAATATAAATCCATGAATTAATTTCTCAGAAAGTTGTCTTTTGCCAATCAATATAATACAAATTTATCAACTGAGTTTATGTAGTGATACATGATATTATTCAATTGATTAAATTTTAACTATTTATATAATCATTTATATTAATTATGTATTGTTCTTAATTTCTAAATATATATGATGTTTTATTTTGTCAATTTATCATATAGATTAGTACATTTATATAAAATAAATGCATCAAAAAAACAAGTGGTATTTCGAAAAATAAAAAACAAAACAAGTATTATAAAATAATGTATAAGTGATACAAATATAACTATATATAAAATTTTTCTTTATAGAAACAATTCAATTGCTTTCCATTATAACTATGTTCCCATCTTAGGTAGCACCTGAAGTTCTAGGTTCCACCACATAGGCTTCTTTTGTCTGTGTCTTCTGAGGAGTTCTATTCTTCTTTATCAGTCACTTTATCAACGAAAATGCTCTACATAGTATTAGAGCTGATTTTTTTTAATAGAAAAAAGAGGTAATACTAGAAGAGAGAGAAAGCATATAAGTGGAGAATAAGATCCTCCCCAAAATTTCAACTAAAAGAATCAAAAAAATAAACAAAAAGGAAACTCAAATTTCAAGGATCAAGCATAAGAGTATAGATCCCAAATCCCATTACAAGATTACCACCTTCCAATTCCTATGTAACACCAAGAGAGCAATGTTTGGAAACTGTCTATTAGATTTTGGTCATAGTGTGGGTAATCCTTTCCCATAGATGCTGATTAGATGAAGGGCAATGATTAACAATTTCTTATTCCTTTCAAGCCACAAGGGCCATAATTTCAAAAACGTTGCTCCTCTCCTCAAGGGTTTGGTCTCCTTTCGCATTCCATGCCATGAGTGCACAAATTCATAAAACACTCTAGGGTAGGGTTGGGGAAGTGACCCAAGATAAGCTAAACAACTCAACCAGCAGCATCCATAAAAACCAGGAAACCTATCATATGACATGAGAATTCTCATTTTTTTTCTCTCTTCCCTTGACCATCATGAGTCTATCTTCTTCCTCAGCAGCAGCCGATCCATCCTCTTCTTCATTCACGTACTTCTCCCTCTTTCCTCAATGTTTCTAACATAAAAAAAAATGTAACAAAGCAACTCAATTTTACAATTACTCGGATTGGGAATTTCTTTTTCTTCGGATTTTCCAGAGATATGGCATTCTCTCTCCTGTTGACTGATCTTGCTCGTTAGAGGATTGCAAGCAAGTACCTAATTCAGCTATCAATCTCTGGAAACAACTTAGCCATGGTCTTTGCAGGTATTATGTGCAGTCTTCTGAAACCCAATAGTTCTCCTTTTGCTAGAGAAGCTTGGTTGCAATGAAACAATTATTTTGCAATCAAGCACCTGGCTACTTGCTTTAGCTTAAATCTGAGTTTTATACTTACAAATCCAATCTGTCTATCAACGCCAACCTTCAAAGTTGAAAACCCTGTTCAGTTCACTAACCTCCATCAAGCATAATCTCTCTGAAGATGATTTGGTTCTTCAAATTTTGGTAGGTCTTCCTCTCGTTATGAGAAGATAATAAAAAGTCTTAGTTCCAACAATAATTGCCCTCCGTTTTTTTTTAACTTCGAAGGGCTCTATATCTCTAGGAAGCTAGTCTCACATGACATCAAAAACCACCTTCTTTCTTGAACAATTCTTTAGCCTTTCTAGCCATCAATCTTTACAAGAACCATAAATCAAATTGGTCCTCCAGAAAATAATATTCTCAACCTAGATGTGGGTAATCATCCTCCGCCATATTATGCAGTACTATGCCTACTTTTTACAAGGTCAGTCTTTTTTTCTTTGTTATTGTTAGTTTAAGCACACAACATTCAAAATATTTATTTTATATATTAATAGACACTTCAAACAAATTAATAATCAAGTGTTATTAGGAAAACAAAAGGCTTATGGGCAAAACCTAATTAGTGTGAATTGATTGGTTCTAAAATTTAACAGTATGTTCCTACCTTTTGATCTCTTCTCTGGAGGAAGCTGTAGATAGTACAAGCAGGCCAGTTCAACCTTCAAAGACTCCATGCTTGACTTACCACCACCATGAAACAAGGCAGCTTCTATGTGTATCCGGATATTATCAATTTCAAATGTTACCGATTGCTGCGATAAATTCAATAGATCCCACCCACAAGAGAGAGAAAGAGAGAGATTCAGTATAATAGGTTGCAAGCTAGGAGAAACGATCAAAAAAATCATAAAGTAATAACAAGATAAGAACCATTTGCAATTGTATGTCACAAAATATTATGACAACATACATACACTTGGGACAACTATTTACCGAGAAATAGGAACCCCTTGCAGCTACAGCGTTCGGACAGACCAAAGTTACAGAACCAAGCAATTGGCCTTAAATACAATTCATTCATATGTAGAATACACTTGATGCATTGGCAGATTTTGTGCTCATTCAGTGAGAAGAATTATCATAAACATACTATTCACAATAAAACAGCTTGATGGAATGACCATTAGCAATGCAACTTAATTGTCATGTATGTGCCATACTTTCTATAAGTATAAAGGTGATGACATACTGTGTCACTAACTACCAAAATATTGTAACAAAAAAGGGAAACATAACACTTACGTCTTTATTACTATCTGTAGTATGTGACTTAACATGAGTCGCACTATGTTTATGCTGTATCTCTTCTGAGTTGTCAACATTACATTTAGAACCACTAGCGGCAAAATCAGACATTAAATCTTTTTCAGTACTAAAAGACCTGTAACTTTTGCTGTATGAAGCAACTGCTTTAGGACTAATTGATTTGTAGGAACAGGAACTCTCTTCAAATTTAGAGCCACTTGCATAAACATCCTGCAAAATGACAGGGTTAGGATGTTGCACCTCAGCTACACATGATACAAAATCAGCCAACATCTAGTCTTTAATTGCATACCTGAACTTTATGACTCACTAGATCATGTTGATGCTTTACTGCAATCAAATGAAAAATAGGGTCTTAGTACTCAGCTTAAATAGAGATGAAATCCAGAGTTAGCATATTCAAAATACCCACTTTTATTAGAAGTAGCAACAGCCTCAACTGGATACTCAAGAAGGCTTCCTTTTGAGGACTCTAACTGATTATGCACTTCATCCTCATCATCTGAAATGATGACACGGACACGCTTGCGGCCAATGATTGTTTGGTGGTTACTCGTTAGTTCAGATGAAGTTCTAACCAGAGCTTTAGTTGGCTTATCTATTTTCTCTTGGTCAGGTAGGTCTTCTTTCAATTTTGGGGATGTTTTACTGGATCGAAGAAGTGAAATCAAAGGTACATCGTCATTTGCCTCTTCTGCAGAAGCCAAAGATTTTGATCCACTGGAATTTGATGAACACATTTCTCTGGAGTTGCATAAACGAGTCCTGCTATCTGATGAATGATCATTCCCTTCCGTGTCAGTTTCAGAACAGCACTCTCCTTTCATATTTTGTGCTTCAAGTTCCCGACGTCTTGACTCTTTCAAGTTGTCAATTTCTAGCTGCAACCTCCTATGGAGAAGCAGGATATTTTAAGCAACAACAAGTATTAATGCCAAGAAAGAGATGTGAAACCATATTTGCTCCAAAAGGTGCCAATCTTTTAAACTTTTTAAAATCTTAGATGAGATGAGTTAATCTTCTCCTTAACTTCTGAATTTACATTCACTACTCGTTGAAATTAAAGAGCTACCAGCTGGCCCAAGTGCATAAAGGACCTTGTCTGATCAATTTTACCTGGCCTCAATAACATTATCAAATCGTATCATGTGGCTATAATGCATATTCTCTAGTGCTGAAAGCTGAACAGAAGGAAGTTTAGCTTCAGTTCCAATCCTGCGAGACATAATTACAGAATAAGCAAAATTTACGATAAGTTTTTCTTCTGTTAGCTTCAAGCTCTTGAGATAACCAACAAAGCACAAATACACTGGTTTTCAGAAACAAATCTAAGCACAAGTTTAAACAATATAATCATTGTTGAAAACTATGCACCCGATGTCTGAATTCCCTGACCATCCAAAATCTAAGTATTGAAAGATTTTCTTCATGTAAATAATGGGCGAAGAGAAAGAAATTCAGAATGTAAAGCCTGTCCAGCTGGAGCAGCCTATCAGATTAACTGTTAAAGTCTGTAACTGAAAGAATATTGAGTATATTCCTTTCTAGAAGCTACTGAAGTAATATCTGAACTTATTGCAAAATAAATGACAAAACGATCACTGAGCATAGATAACAAGGAAAAAACATGTCCACAACTAGGAATGTTTTAGAGATCTAGTCATGGGACACAGATCCAGTACAAATAGAGAAGCAGATGAAGTACACTTGTATGAATTATGAATATGGCAAGGACAGCATGATAAAACAAAGTAGTTTTTCTTCTCATGTATTCACGATACCACAGCAACAACCAATTAATTTCAAGAATAATCAATTTTTCTTAAGAAAAGTTTTCTCTTGCAAATGAACAGCAGAAAATGAATATATTAATCAGAATTCATGTTATGCGTCTACTCGTCAGCCATCTTTACCAGACTACAGATTTTGGGGAGTCTGCACATGGACTTCTATAAAGAACTTTCTAGCTATGAATTCAGATCAAGTGTATTAATTACCTATAACCTTCTTCGAATGCATCAAGTGCTCCTTTCCAATCACCAGTACAGTCCAAAACATCACCAATGTTAATTTTTGCTAAGGCTTGACCCTGAAGTAAATAGGAAATTTTAAGTAAGAAGATACCAATCATGAAACTATCAGAGTAATCATGGAAAATACTTCTCTATTGAAACTCATATTTTCTCCAACTGGAAGAAACTCAAAATAAAATTTTAAACCACACAAGAAGCCTCCTAGTTTTCAGTTTTAAGCATGCAAAAAACCTTGATACTAGATCGCAGAACAAATTAGATCTCACCTCCCGATTGCCAATTGACTTGTATCCCTCCCAACTCTTTGTATACCATTTAATGGCTTTCTTATAGTCTCTGAGTTTCTGGTAAGATTCTCCAATAACCAAAAATGCATCGCTCAACTTTTCTTTGTCACAAAGCTCACTTGCTACTCTCTTCTTGCTTTTTGCAAATTCTCGATGCTAAACATTCAGAAGACAAAAAAAAAGTTTTTAAAAATGAAAAAATGCAGTTGCTGTTACCTTCCAATCAAATATTATATGTTTATATATTCAAACAACCCATATATGCAGCTAAATAAGCAGGCAAGTGACTGTCATAATTTACAGTACCATTAACACTGACCTCAATCTTGTGTGATGCTCAAGACTTCTTAGGTACATTGTCTAAGAAATCTTAGATGCAATGTAAGTTTTTATCATCAATTTCCTAAGTAGGCAAACTAATTATAATTGTCGTAGATCAAATTCACTTCAAGAAATCTTCACACTCTACCAGCCTATTAGGAACTCTTCAAAGGAAATGATGATATTCCATGCCTAAATAGCTGCTGGAATCTCTTTGAAATCACAACAGACAACATTGAGGATGTGAATCTCATCTCATCTTCTGACAGATCAATTCGGACAAGAGTGAGTTCATTAATTGATATAATGGACTAAAGTACTCTTGAATAGATTTGGAGTCACGATGTAAGCTTGAGTTTTTTTGGCATATAAACATTCAAATCTTTACCAAGCCTCTAGACAGGTACTTAATGATGCTACTAAAGAGATAACAAATTTAAAAACTGAGGCTAAAGTAGCATGAAGGATTAATAATCCTCATGTTTCCAAAAAATTTAAGTTGGACATAAACTGTAACAAATCCTGTTAGATTACACTCATACAGAAGAGTAGTTAACTGAGCATTCCATCTGGGATAATCCAAAGCTGTGAGTTTAAGTGGGACCTTGAGTAGCACATTGATGGTGAGTAGTGTTTTTTTATTGTCAAGGGGGATGGAGTGATTTGCAATGTGGGGACTTGAGGACTGGTAATTGTTTGAAATTTTTTCCCCTCATAAGGGATTTTTGGAATGCCATAAAATAGAAATGGTTATATATACAGGATAAATACTATAATTGTTCCCACGAGTATTCTTTACATAAATGTTAATTATTTCAATGCTTATGCTACACATAAAAGAAAACTGATTGGACCAAAATTGTAGAGATTGCTGATGGAGAGAGATTTGAGTGATTTATGGAGTCTTCTCAATATGGAAGGAGTTAAAACTTGATTTTGAATATAAAATATTATCTCCTTTAAATGTTAGAGAGAGTTTATAATTATTGGGGTTTTTGTTTAACATTTGTGTTTTCTCCTTCCTAGGAAGCTTTTTTTTAAAGAAAGAATTTTTGGCAAGACGTTGGGGTATGGTTTTCTTTTTCTTTGAACAGCTAGTACGTAAGAAACACGGGGACAGAAGTTAGGGTTTAATACGAAATGACAAAGTAAGGTATAGAACCAACTTATCTTGAGAAGTTTAGCAATTAGAGAAATAGTGGTGAGGAAACAACCAAATAGAGGTAGACTAGAGAAAATTAAGGACCAAGGTGAATAAGTATATGAAGAAAAGGACAGAACATAACATGTTAGACACAAAATTAATAAGAGCTAAGAACAAAGAGAGATAATAGGAAATGAAACACTAACACAATAAATTTCTGATTCAACATTCTTGTGTATTAATGGTGTTAATTACAATTAGTGAGGAAAATATTAAAATAATAAAATAGAAAGCTCAACTTTCTAACTCCTAATAATACTTTAAAAGCTACCTAATTAAGCTAAATAAATCAAAGATTCTAAATAATTTAAAATTTTAAACTTATTTAATATTAAATTTATCCCAACTTAGGAACCTCTTATTCTGCAGCATCTTACTAAGGAGTTTGTTTCACATAGAGATTCATATGACATAAGGTGTCATCTCATTTCGTTATTCCATGGTTAAAGCATTCTTGGACCCTCATGTCATGTTACCTACTTCTGAACAGAGAGCATGTAGTTTGAAAGCAAGATTCATTTTAAGATCAAACCTACGGTGATTATTTTCATTGTATACATAATAAAAAATTACTAAGTACTTCAAAAAAATAATAATAAATCACTAAAAAATGAGTACTTTCTTCAATGAAGAGAAAATAATGGTTGAAACCAACCAAGAAGCAAGGAAATTGTTTATACTAACCAACCTTCAGCCATGCAAATATCATACTGGATTTCTCAATTAGACGATCAAGGGATGCATTCTGCTGCAACAGACACTTCCGCTCACCAGGTGTGCCTCTTGCAGTGACCATCTTTCTTGATAGCTTCTTAAGATTCTGCTCTTCTTTTTTCATTTCATCCGTTACTTTCATGGCTTCTTTAACAGTATAAATATTTTGCTCAATCTGGTCTACCAAGGCATCTTCATCTTCCATGGATTTTGCAAGATCAAGAGCCTTCCTGTAACAAAGGATTGCCTCTTCATACTTTTGAACTCTATAATGTAACTCACCAAGATTAATGTAACCCTTTGCCTCCCCTTGGTGGTGGCCAATTGCATTACATATTGCAATATCCTTCTTAATGTGCTTCTTTGCTTTATCCCACTTCCTCAACTCCATGTAAACACTCCCAAGGTTGTTATGGAGCCTGCTACGTCCATCATCATTTTCCACCACCTCTTCTTCATTGCAAATTTCTAGCCCTTTATTGAGGATTTCCTCAGCTGCTTCCAAGTTATCAAGATCCATTTCAAGCATTCCTATGTTATTATGTGCATCAATGTATTCTTTGAGAAAAGATTTATTAGTAGGTGGATTTTCCTTGAGAACATGAGCAAGCTTCATGGCAGACTTGAAGTACTTTTTGGCATTCCGAGCTGCTGAATGATCAACATCAGACTTCAGAAAAATTTCATGGTATGTACGACCAAGTTGGGTGCTGGCCCGCTGTTGCTCAATGAGATCATTGGTGTCCTTGGCAAGCTCTAAATGTTTCTTCTGCAGATTAAAACATGTTGACAAGGAAACAAAATCTTTTGGCAAGTACAAACTCTTCCACATATAACTAATGAAAAATTTGCACAACTAAGAGAAAAGAGAGAAAAGGACAAAGAAAAGAGTTTTGGACAATTCTGCAACCACACCAAACCTCTCTCAACAAAAAACAAGCACTAGATAAGCCAAAATTTCTATCTCTAGTCTTTCATTCCCTATCTCCTTTCCCGCACTTTCAGACAATCCAAACAGTCACAAGCACCCAAGCACCATAAACTCCCATATGCCAGTACCCAAATAGCCAGGTATTAATGCATAATCCGGAATTATCAGTTTTGCTGGTAACCTGAAGACAACTCTTCCTCAATGAAATCTCACTAGACACCATAGCCTAACACTCCAAAAGAAACATCCTCAGAGAAAGCGAAAATAAAAATAGAACTAAAAGCCAGTCAATAATGATTTTAACCACAGCGTAGAATCCACCTTTACTAACATTATTACTATAATTTTTCTTCTGGAAGAAGACAAAATTCATCCCCTTCCAACCTCTCCAAACCCCCTCCCCGCCCAAGAAGAAAAATATTGCAACTTCAATTGGCAATTAATAGATCAGCAAGGTGTATGAACTCAATTATGTCCAAAACCCCAGAACCAGAAAACCCAACAATCACCTAATAAGATAAACCGCATTGTACACCCACTAAAAGCCAGTCAATAATGATTTTAACCACCGGGTAGAATACGCCATTACTAACATTATTACTATAATTTTTCTTCTGGAAGAAAACAAAATTCATCCCCTTCCAACCTCTCCAAACCCCCTCCCCGCCCAAGAAGAAAAATATTGCAACTTCAATTGGCAATTAATAGATCAGCAAGGTGTATGAACCCAATTATATCCAAAACCCCAGAAGCAGAAAACACAACAATCACCTAATAAGATAAACCGCATTGTACACCCACAATCCATGACCAAAAGACGGAGCTAAATAAACAAGAAACCAACATATATATAATATAGTACCTGATAAATCAAGGCTTCCTCGAACATCTCGAGGCGGAGATAGACCTCACCGAGAGACTGGCAAGTAGGTAGCAACTGCTTTTCAGGCAAGTACTTATTCGATACCTCATAATCAATACGCAGCCACCTCAAAGCCTTCCTGTACTCCCCTTTGTTCTTGAGAATGTCGCCGATGACATTGGCCCATCTGGCCTCCTCCCGCCTGTTCCCCTCCGACTCCGCATTGCGGTACGCCCGTTTCGCCGCGCTCAACTGTAACTCGTCTCGAGCCATTAAGGACGGGATCAAGGTCTTAGCTTCCCTTATCCTTTTCTTCAATCAAATTTCATATTTTTTTTCTAGAGTTCGAATTTGATGAGCTCTACGGATTGATTTGGTTTTGATTTTAAGAAAATGGAAGGCAATGTTGGTTTGGGGGGTCTTTCGTTTTGAAAGTTCTTCCTGCCAAAATGGAGGTTTCCCGCCAGTGTGATAATGGTCCGGGCCTAGGGCGTGGCTTAGGGCTTCGTTACGGAGAGTTTTGGATAATTAGATTTTCAAAAATTATTTTATTTGTAGAATATATTTAAAATTCTACACTTTTATATGAGAGGATAAAGATATAAATAATTTCAAAAAATATATATTTTAAGTTCTATATAAAATTAATAAATTTAAAATATGGTCTTAAAGTCAAATTGAAATTATTTAATTTTTCTATAATTTTGTGAGAGATGTCTGTCCTTAATTAAAATAAGGGTAAATTTCCAAATTCCATTAAAATTGACAAAATTCAAAATACATTATTATTCCCAACTCCATTAAAGACAATGCATTGTTTCAATTATTTTAAGAGAACTACTACTACTGTATTCTAGGCAAAAGTACACATGTAAATTTATAAACTAATTCCACAGGAATCATAAATTTATTCAAATCATTGCCTTTAAGCATGGTGCAAAATCAAAAAAATCACATCATTACTTGTAATGATCTTCATAAAAGATTATTCATCACTCATTGTACCATCCACTGTAATCTCTCTTTCAAAAAAAAAAAAAAATGCATTGAGCGATTGGGTAGCCTAAACTACTTCAAACAGAGCAAATGTCTTTCATTACATTTGACTCTCTCTTCCTACTGTCAAACCAAAATAAAATGAAACAAAATTCTCTCCCTAGAAGATCAAGAAACTTTATACACTTGCAAGGGCGATTTCAGCCAAAAAAAAGAGAGAAAAAATAGCAAGAAAATGAATGAAAATGAGCTAGACAACAGTTTCTATTTTTTTATCTGACAACCTTCTTCTTGTCTCCAAGATAGCAGCAGTCTTCCTCCTACATATTTCTTTAATGGCTTCCTGATATTCCAGTTCAATAGTTTCCAGCTCCACCGCCAACTCTTCACTTTCATTCTTATCTAACAGGGAAATTTCTGTTGGGTGCATAAATTGATTTCTTTCGTTCGCAGATGGATCTATTTCAACTCCAGACAAATAGTCTATAGTGCCACCCTTCAATCCATATCCATCAGAGTCCAAGGGTCCTGATTCGGCAGACATATATGAATTAATTGAGTGCCTCTTACCATTCCATTCATTAGATGACACAGAAACATATGACATATCAGAACCCTGATCTTCTGTCACATTCGTTTGTGGATGACCAAAATCATGAGACATTCTCTCATCACTCTTGGCAGCACCAGCATCTTGCTTTGTTGACTGACTTGATCCATCAAAATGACTAATACTTGGGAAATGGTTTAGGGATTCATACGCACTTTGAAATGATCCCACACTTCCTCCGTGTTTTTGCAACTGAGTATCCTTCTGATATCCCCCAGAGTTTCGGTTTACGTTTGAAGGAACCAGATGATTGACTGGAACACAAGGTTTCCAACTTGGAATTAGGTTCAGTAATAACAAGTCTATCAATTCTGCTATGAATGTGACATTCTGATCAGCTAGTTCAAGCTGCTCAACCATTTCACTTGAAACTGAAAGGGCAGTATCACTATCGAGGTAAAACAGAAAATGAATATTCCTCACACGGCCTGCATGAGAAATGACAGACATCGATATTACATACTTCTATATTATCAAGTGGATGGTAGTGGAATGGGCTAAAAGGGAAATTTACTTACTATTTTCATCAGCTATTCGAAGAATTAAGGACACAGAGTTTTCATCATTTTCCTGGCCTTTTAACAGAAAAAAGTGACCTCTCTTTACCCTTCGAACTTCAATGCACAGAGAGTGTGACATCCCCTCAACTGAGTTATCATAAGACATAATAACTGGCAGGTCACCATCATTATCAAGATCCATTGAGAGGGGTTTATTTCGGGCAGTAGCAGGTCCTTCTGACATCAAACAACGATCTCCGAAGGCTCCCTCTTTTGGCATAACAATATCAGGAAGTGCCAAAGGACGATTCTTTGCTGTACCATTCACTTGTAGAAAAGAGTCGTTCAGGAGCTCCTTTGCTGACAACCTTTGAGATGCTGGGACCAAGCATTTCTCAATAAATAGTTTAACTTCTGGGTCTTTAATTTTAGACAACCCAGCAGGCTTTATTCCCTGCCAAGGCTCAAGAACAAGACAGCTAAAAAGCCTTGGAAATAAACATTAAATTTGAAAGCTAAAGAAAACAAGAACATGTTACCACTTACAGATGAGACCTTCTTATATATCTGAGCAGAGTTTCTGCATTCACTGTAAGGATACTCGAATGTAACCATCTCTAACATGCACATCCCAAATGAATATATATCAGCCAACTCATTGTAATTCTCATCGTACAGCTCAGGTGCCATAAACTCTGGGGTTCCTGTTTAATACCATGATCCACTTACCAACAAAAAGAAAACACACAAAACACAGCACT